TTTTTTTTTTTTTTTTTTTTTTTTTTTTTTGGTACCAGGGATCAAACTCAGGACCTTGTGCTTGTGAGGCAGGTACGGTGCCATTGAGCTAAATCCCTGGCCCTATGCTGTGCCATTTTTAACGCAATTACATCAATGTCCTGACTACTCCCTAGAATAAGGTCAGCTAGACATTGCACAGATAGCAATGGGAGTTCCCAGTTCTTCACCTCTTCTTGAGAAGAAAGACAGTGAGATGTCAGATGGCCAAAAAGCTCTTCTCTGGCTGCCTGTTTATTTAAAGGCATGTTGGAGACTGTTAACAGTGATGTCCTCTCATTCAAAGTAAGTTCCCCCAGCCTACTGTTTCACAGATCCCAGTTACAAAGACTGCACTGTCCCACAAATTGCCAGATTCTATTTTCTAATCAGTTCTGTTAGTAGTACTCACCACATGAAGCTGAAATATCTCCCTCATAGATTTATTCTCAGCCTTGAAAAATAATGATCATCATAATGGTAATAATAGCAACAACTTCTGTTACCAGTTATTGAGTTTTTATTATCTGCCAGGCTCTGGGCTAGGCCTTGTATACCACTGGTTCATTTCCTCCTTTCAGTAGTGCTCTGAGCAAAAGATTTATCCCCATTTTCCAGACTGGGAAAACTAAGGCTCAGAGAAATGAAATGACTCATCCCACATCATATATCTAGTGAGTGGCAGGTTTGGAATTCAAGCAATAGATGTGTCTGATTCACAGTGATCCGTTTCGTGTGACATTGATCCATACCTGTCCCTGTCTCTTTTGAGACAGAATTATAATGTGGGCCAATAGTTGCAGGGAGATACATTTGTGAAAAAGTATACTCCTCTGGATCAGGGAGTCTCTACTAATCATGGCTACTCCTTCTAGGTGTCACTGTCCTGGAGGCATTGGGTTATGCTTTCTTGGTTGGATTTTCTGTCCTTCATGTTCTTCAAATCTAATCTGCATATTTCTTAGGTCAGTAAAACAGACTGGGCCTTTGGAAAGCTTTAGCCTCTGAGGTAGAAAGCAAAACAGGACCAGAAGAGGCCTCTGGGACAAGTGAACAAGAAACTAAGAACCCTAATTCATGGTGTCCTATTTTGATCTTGGGAGAGTCACTTCTTTCTAGGAGGGCAATATAAGTTTTTGGATAAGAATAGGACCTCTAGAACTCAAAGTTCATTCCTAAATCCCAGTAGGCAAAATAATAGCACCTACCAAAGGATTGTTATGAGAATTAAATTTGACAATTTACATAAAGCTATGAGCACAAAGTATTGTTTTCAATATTTCAAAACTCCATTCAGAAATCATTATGCTTCCCAGATCTTGGAATTAAAAGCAACACCAAACTTTTTGGCTTTGGGTAAAGTATATCTGAGGTTGATGTGATACCTTTTTTTTTTGGTATTGGGGATCAAACTCAGAATCTTGTGCTCACAAGGAAGGTGGCAGCACCACTGAGCTACATCCCAGATGCGGTATCTTTTACTCCATCTCTTTGGCTGTTGGAGGGCTTGGGATTTAGCTTGTTAGTTCCACCACCTGCCTCACAAGCGCAAGGACCCAAGTTTGATCCTCAGTACCAAGACAACAACAACAACAACACAAACTGTTTGGCTGTTGGTAATGTCACAAGTAAGCCAGGGATATTATTTTACTGCGACCACTATTACTTATACTTTTGTAACATTTTTCTAAATGGGAAATAAATTCTTGTTTAATGAATGTTGCTTTCTTGGTAAGAAGAATGTTTTGGGTCTATAGATCTATGGGGGATAAAATAATAATTAATGATTTTGATGGTAGTAAAAAAAGGCTGAGAACT